TATCCTATCGTCAAAGGCGGCTCTTTCCTAATATTTCTTGTCGCACAGTCCAACTAGAATGAACAACACCGACGAATAAGCCGATCCTTGACGTACGCCTACGGTAACATAATTGTGGCGTGTCTCCACAGGCGTCCGGAATAGGGCTTGAAGAGCAGCGGTTGGTCAGCTAGACGGCATTCACAAGCGCTTCTGGTATTTGCTGATGTCGAAGGACTTCTCAAATGAGTCGGCGGGGCACCCAGTTGTGAGCTTTCTCTAAATCTAAAAGAGTCAAGTGAAAGAGCCTTTTCTATCATGCGATGAGCATGGTGAATAGCGTCGGTGGCACCGGAATGCGCACTGCATCCCAGTAATTTTCACTGTTTTCCTAAGTCTGGCTTCCAGTACTCGTTCAAATACCTTGAGAAGGATAGGTCGATAGTTGGAGCAGTGAGCGATACCTCCTTTCTTCTTGTATACAGGCAGCGTGACACTTTTTGTCTATTCTGTTCGTATTTCCTTCCTCTATACACTTGTTGAAGAGCTGTGTGAGATACGAGCGCCCTCAGAAATGTTTCCAGACTTCCGCTGGGATGTCGTCTGGTCCAGTAGCTTTCCCGTTTTTCTTCTTTTTGATAGCCACCTTCGACCTCGTCCTCGACGATTGAAGATTGGGTCCATGGTTTGGTGTTCGAGCGCCGGATGCGGGAATTCCACGTTGCCGATTTCCAGCTAGTATTCTTTCCAGCGGTTCTTGTTGTTTCACTGTAGTTGTGCAGGAGTAGCATGAACGTCGTCGTGTTGACAAAGTGTTGCTCTGAAGCCCCTGACAATATCTGTTTTCACCTTCCTTGGTGTCCAGTTTCGCGACCTGTGAGTCTGCCCTGTACTGCCGAGGTAAAGCAAGTTGCCTTCAAAGGCAAGCTGTACGATCACATAGATGTGTGCCGCCTTCGTCAGTCGCAAGGGTGTGAATATGAAACTGGAGTGAAAGGTGTATTTTGCTTGAACATGGAGGTGGTAGGGCGCCGTTCCACGTGGTAGTCCTCTGCCCGCGAGTCGAGCCTGAAATGGCATCCGGGTACCAGTTTCCTCCACGCTGTTTCCAGCGAAGGAAAAAGCGTACCTTCTTCAGTTGCTGACCCGTTCACCCCGCATTTGGCAATCAATATCCGAAGGTTAGTGGACAGCATATCCTTAACTCAAAAGTTTTATATTTCCTCGATTAGCGCACTGTGATATGGCACCTTCAGTTATCCCGCTACTACTTCACTGACAGCGGAATCTCAAAAAATGAGTCTGAGAACTGGTTTACAAACAAATCCATTCAGACGATGCAGAACCAATCTTCACCCATGCTTTCGAGAACGGATTTCGCTACTACGTCCACGCTCCCGACACTATACCGTATCTCGTATCTGAGGGTATCAGTGTATCGCCAGGAACACGAGTTTATTCTGCGATTTCCACACATACGGTACGTATTGTCGCATCGAACTTTGACATGTTCAGCCCAGGTGACCACAGCAAAAAGGATTATTGTAATATTAACCGAAAAAATAATTGATCAAAAGAGAAGGTACCCAACTCTCTTCCCCGTTACAGTAAGAACTTTGTATTCATGGGTCACGGAATATTGCAATTAGCTATTTAGATTCAGGCATAAAATCCGTGTTATAGGAGGACGTAGTTAATGTGGAATATTCGGGTAGCCCTGCACAAGAACTTTGCCTTCTCAACACAAAGTTATTGTTCGGATAGAACATTGTGGCTTTGAAGCACATTCAGACTTTTTTTTGCCCAAAGTGTCTAGGGACGGAGGGAGGCGTGTCACAGGGGGGTTGGGACCCGGAGGAGGGACTCACCCGTGCGCGTGTTGCGGCGCGGTTTTTTGACGTCACAGCGGTTGCAGGGCGGAGCTAAGAGCGATGGCCTGCATCTCCGGCACTGTGAATCAGCAGCCGCTTTTTGTGGAAGGAAAAAAAAGAGAGAAGAGGGATTGATAGTGGGTGCTTATAGGTGAGTTAGTGGTAACAGGTGAGCAGAGAATACAGAAAAGGTCGAATATCAGGGCAAATTACATCGCGGAAACTACGCAAGCAGCTCCTACGCAAACGTTATAACGTCGTCACTTTTAACGTTTGCGTAAGAGCTGTTCGCAACTTTTTCGCAATCAAAGGGAACTAACTCGCCAGCTTCACCTTTGATCAAAGTAAATCGCTTTCACTGGTAGTCAACTTTCCTATATTTCCTGCTCACCATTACCACTAATTCATCAATGAGCATCCATTTGTTCAGTTCTTTTTCTCTTTTTTCTTTCCAATAAAAATAGCCGCTCATTGAAGCACAGTGGCGGAGGCGCAGTCCTTCGCTCTGCCCTGCCGCCGCGGTGATGTCAAAAAACCACGCTGCAAACGCGCGCGAGTGAGTTTTTCCAGGGAGCTCTCAGGACAAGCCCATACATTCTTCACCTTCTCCGCCGCTCGCACGTTTTTCACGCCTTTAGAAATAATTGTATGTAAACGTTTTGAATTGTTCT